AAAAAGCGCCCATCCATTAAAAAAAAAAGTGTCTCACACGGCTCCGGGGGGGTGAACAAAGGCCTTCTGTAGCAAATCGATGCGTTTTTGTAAGAAATATATCCATATTCAAAACGTAATAATCACTTGAATCTAGCTTGCGCCAGCAGTTGTTCACAGAAGCAGTTCCGGGCGGATGACGTATGAGGTAAGCGCTGCGCATGCGCCGGTGAGTCTCGTGAAAACCAACGTTTGTTAACAGGAGCAAAGGAAGTAAAACCAGTCTCCTCTTGGCTTATATCCAAATCCTCCGACATTCTTCTTTACAAATCCTCGTTTTGTCCTTCTAATTAGTGACCGTTGTTTTGTTTTGATCTCTCCGCTGTGCTTCCGCGTTCGTTCCTTCTGAGCGGCGCATGCGCAGCGCTGACCTCATACGTCATCCGCCGGAGCTGCTTCTGTGTACAACAGTGAGCGCAAGCTAGATTCAAGTGATTATTACGTTCTGAATATGGATATTTTTCTTATAAAAACACATCGATTCGCTACAGAAGGCCTTTGTTCACCCCCCGGAGCCGTGTGAGGCACTTATTTTATTTGGATGGGCGCTTTTTATTTCACTTCTTTTGGACTGAAGCACTGCAACACACAGTCTGCAACATTGCAGTCTCATGTTAGAGCTTGGAATAGCCAGGACAATTTTTAATCTAACTCCGACTGGACTCATCTGAAAGAAGAAAGTCATATACACCTAGGATGGCTCTGGGGTGAGTAAAACACAGTCTAATTTTAATTTTTGGGTGAACTAACCCTTTAACAGTCTCAGCAGATCCTGTGACGTCACAACAAGCAGCCAATCACAGCGCAGCACTGAGGGTCTGTTTACGGCACTTCAGACGATCTTCCTCAAACGTGGCCTGAGGCTTTAGGATCGCTGCCAAACAGCAGAGTCACGCAACACAGCGCTGAAACATTGCATTCATTAGCTGCTACACATATATACACACACCTCGCTCTTCCTGCTGTTTGGAAATCTGTCTTTCCACTGGTTTCACACACATTCCTTCAGAGAGAACTAAACTCTGGATTGAAAAATTCATTTTTGTTTATTAGACTCTCTAAAAAAGAAAATCCTGATCGTTAGCAGGTGATTTTATCCAGAGCAATGTTGAAATGAATGTGATGGTGTTGACTGTCAGACGATCATCACATCACAGATCTCCAAACTCACCACAGCTTTTCTAGAGTCGCTGCTGAAGCTCGTGATGCTTCTAATAATCTCCTCCGTGTCTGTTTAACTTCATTAACGCTTCATTAACTCATTAACACATCTCATTAACGCTCACAGGGAGCCAGTGACGTGTCTGTGACTGAGCTTGCAGGATGATTTTCAGAAAGATGAAATAATCAAAGTTCAGCTGTAATTTCTGACAGTGAAGCTCAGACTCTGAACAAATAAATACAACCAGAAGTGATGATTACTGGCATATTAAAACAATAAAAGACGCACATGCTAATAACAAGAGCAGTCCTGTAAATGACCAACTAACCAGTCAGCAGGTTTAGAGCAGGTTGATGTTGTTTCTGGTCAAATATCAGTTGAATCTGTGTGATTCAGATGATCTGTATTTGATTTCTCTGCTTCAGTGCTTTGAACGGCTGACGACAATCTCATCTGACAGACTCTAACCATGATGTTGTGCCAACAAAGACTTCCACTCCATTACCTTCATGAGCAAACACTCGCTTGAACTTTCCTGCAGCCGATCCGTCCGTATTATTCACCCTTGAGGATCACTTCATTGCTCTTGCACTGAGAACTAGTCATATTCATACAGTACTATTCATAATTAAGTTCTGTAGTGTTGATGAGTCTGAATGATGATTTCACCCCCTTACAATTTAATACTGTAATAAAAAAATGTGTAATTTTAACATCTAATTCAATAATTAACTCAACATTAAATCATGGACTCAAAAAAATCGTCAACATGTTAATAAATTAAAAAGCATACTATTATTAAATTTCTAGAATGACAATTATTTTTAACCTAAAAACTATTTAGCCTATCGCATACTTATATAAATAACATTCAACACTTTCTTTCTCTTAGTTTAATAATAATAAATGCTGTATGCCATATTATGATCGTTGGTTATTTTGAGTTGCCATGGTAATTTGATGTGTTTTGTTTGTTGTGGAATCGCGTGGACACGGACGCGCCGCGGTTTCTCTCCACAGATTTGACACATCCTGAACACTCTTCTTGTTCTTCAAACACACAGAGGCCTGCGCTGACGTGCGAGTGACGTCTCCGGTTCCTGTGGCTGATCTGATCTCCTTCCTTCTTCAAGCTCCTGGTTCGTGCAGGATCAGCGTTTAGACGCGTCTTGCTCAAGCCGTTTCCTCTCAGGACTGCAGGCAGAGTTCATCCTGAAAAACTCTCTCCATTCAGGCCAAAGAGCGTCAGCCATGAAATACAGGCGACTGAAAATCGCAGTTAGAGTAAATGAAATATATGTGACCCTGGAGCACAAAACCAGTCATAAGGGTCAATTTTGTGAAATTGAGATGTATGCATCATCTGAAAGCTGAATAAATAGCTTTCCATTGATGTATGGTTTGTTAGGATCGGACAATATTTGGAAATCTGGAATCTGAGGGTGCAAAAAAATCTAAATATTGAGAAAATCATCTTTAAAATTGTTCAAATGAAGTTCTTAGCAATGCATATTACTAATCAAACATTAAGTTTTGATATATTTACGGTAGGAAATGTACAAAATATCTTCATGGAACATGATCTTTACTTAATATCCTAATGATTTTTGGCATAAAAGAGAAATGTATAATTGTGACCCATACAATGTATTGTTGGCTATTGCTACAAATATCCCCCAGCGACTCAACACTGCTTTTGTGCTGCAGGGACACATATGTGCTGCGGTAGGTCTGTGGGTGAGATGATGGACAGAGAGACACTGAGATCCGTCAAAGACTGCATAACGCTGTCTCAGGAAGACTAAGAGTGTCTGTGGTTTAAGTCACGCGAGAAGAACGATGAGAATGCTTTGGGTTCATGCCAGTTTCAATTTCCACACATTAAAAGTGAATGCATTAAAGATGAGATAGAATAGAACTGGTGAAGCCTTAAACATGATATAAAATCTGTCTGAGTTTCCAGAGGCATTATAAATTCAGTGAAAGTTAAATGTTTTCCAGAAGCATCATTATCTAAGTGTTTGCAGTGACAGAACTCACATGATCTGCCAGGACTGAGTTATTCTGCAATTCTCTCATTGATCTGTATATACTGATCATTTAATTAAAAAAAAAATGTATTTGAAAAAATGAATCACTGAAGATACAAGATGTTTTTCAGCTGATATAAAGTGTTTTTACACTTCAGTCAATAAATTAATCAATCAATAAGTAAGTAAATAAACAAATAATTTTAATATATGCTTTTTGATAAAACTTGTATCTTAAAACTGTCTATGTTTTCAGTAACTGTTAGCATGCAGCTCAAACAGAGATCATGGGTTCAGTTTCCAGCGAATAAATGAACTGTTAAAATGTGTTTCTGATAAAAGCATCTGCTAAATGCATAAATGTAAATGTTTTCCACAAATAACTCATTGAGCGTGCGTTAAATGAGCTTCTAATGGAAGTCACAGGTTCACGGCGCTCAGATCTCAAACCGATGATGAATCAGTGATGTCTGATGTGTTTCTATGATCTCTCTGCAGCACAGCTCTAATAATCACTGCTTATAATAATGCATGCACATGTAATCACTTCCATTTCTTTTATTTCTATTTGAGCATCAATATTTCTGATTTAGGATTCAGGTTTTTCCAAAGACGTCATTATTTCTTAAACTAAATTCTACATCAGTTATTAATGTCACACAGACACTTCAGAAGCAGCTCCTGACAGAAGTTTCCCAGCATTCCCTGCGTGTCTCACCTCTCACACCCTCTAGTGGTTTAGTTAGGCAAGCTCTTTTTTTTTACTGATGTATTTAATGATTTCACGTGTAATTAAAGTAATTCTTTAATTTAAAAGAATGTCTATGAACATGTTTTGACAGCTATGTAAGTCACCGTACAAACTACAGCATCAGTCCTTGAGTTTCATTCACACTGAACATACAGCAGCTGAACATCACAGACTCAAACCCACAAACCCAGATGACGGCAGCACGCGTGTGTGAGTGTGTGTGAGTGTGTGTGTGTGTGTGTGTGTGTGTGTGAGTGCGTGTGTGTGTGTGTGTGTGAGTGTGTGTGTGTGGAACACGTTCATGTATGTATTAACCAGCGCATGGCATTTACAATCACACACTTCAGTCTAAAGCAGATCATATGGCTCTTATACTCCACATCAATCCATGCAGAGATGATTCCTGATCACCATCAAACACTTCAGTCATTTATACACTAAACAGATCACTGCTAAAAAAAAACAATAAAGGTCTGAATGATTTCAGAATATAGAGCAATTACTCAATGGCATAGTCCAGTTTCAGAGCAAAGACTGTAAGACAGAATATCCCATAATGCTGTTCAGACATAAAAAAACATGTTGATTTTGTCAAATGTGAGCTGAACACTCATCAAGACTTTTGCTGTGAGGTGTGATATAAAGTCTCCTTCAGATCAGTGCAAACACACACATGGAGCATCTCAGGTGTCGGAGCGACACACACACATGCACATACACACACACACACACACACACACACACTCTCTCTCTCTCTCTCTCACACACACACACACACACTCTCTCTCTCTCACACACACACACACACACACTCTCTCTCTCTCTCTCTCACACACACACACACACACTCTCTCTCTCTCACACACACACACACACACACTCTCTCTCTCTCTCTCTCACACACACACACACACACTCTCTCTCTCTCACACACACACACACACACACTCTCTCTCTCTCTCTCTCACACACACACACACACACTCTCTCTCTCACACACACACACACACACACTCAC